AAAGTTATTTAACGATACTCACCATTACCTTTCCTTCAATTTCTTAAATATCCACAATAACCAGATACGAGCAAATTCCGAAGCCAAAACCTTCTCCTACCTATCCTGTTATTCTATTGATAGGAAAAACAGGCAAGCACCCGGATAAAATTTTTATGCTCTCATTTCTTCTGTTAATTAAAGGGATAATTCGTATCAAGGTGCTGGAAAAAGTACTTTGGTAACTTGCTTCTCGGAAAGCCACATGATGAAGGTCCGTTTAACATCTCAGCAGGCATGGTGAGTGTCCATATTTCATATTTGCGTGCAACTCATTTTTCATTCCGATCCCAATGATAAAACAATATAGGAATCCTGCACGCAAATATGTGGCGAGGCAGAAATGACAATCGATGGCAAGAAATATACACTTGTCGACACTCCCGGAATCTTTGATACACAAAAGCCTAATGAAGAAGCTTTAACGAAATTGCACGAACAGTTCATACATGTGCTTACGGTGTCAAAGCTATCCTTTTTGTTTTTGGTATGTTATAACTTAATAAACGTCAATCATCTATAGTCCTACGAATAAAGAGTTATGAGCAAGTAATAACCGTCTTTTCCCTACAGAAGCAAAGCAGTTTACCGAAGAACAAGAGAATGGCTTGGAAGGTATAAAAATGTTTCTTGGAGAAGGCGCAATGGACTATATAGTTCCTATTTTTTCCCATGCAACAAAAAAGCAGAATGAAAACAGGGATGAAATGCGAAAGACTTGGAATCAGACTGTTTCTTCCTTTATTAGGAGTCTAGGTGGCCGCTGGGGAATATCCCCAAATTCTGATTACTTTCCTCCAGAAAGTTCCGTACACAAAGCCCGGTTGACAGAGATTAAAGACTTCATCGCCAGTACACGAGGTGTCTATACTACGGAAGTATTTGAATCCGCTCGGCAAGAGCAAGAGAAAAATCGGCGCGAATGGGAAGAGAATGAAAAAAATACAAAAAAGGAGTACGAAGAAAAGTTAAGACAAGAAGGGAAAGCGAAGGCTGATGAATTTTATAAAAAAGGATTTGCTAAAATGCAAGAAGAGTTTAAAAAAAACGAGGCCAATTCCTTGGCGAAGACGTTGAATTCAATAACAGAAACGTATGAACGCAGCTTCAACTTATTAAAGTCGGCAATAGAGTTGGAAAAACGCAGAAACGACTCATTAAAGTCGGAAATCGACTCGGAAAAACACGCACACGAATTATTAAAGTCGGAATTCGATAGACTGAAGTCAGCTAAATCGGTACAAATTCATGATAATAATAAAATAGCAGATCTAGTCCCCCCGGAAATTATGGTCGGGTTTTCTTTTTATTATAAAAAATCTTTTTATATATAAAATTAATTTCAAATTTACAAGATTAAAGCATAATATATTAAACATATATATTTTAAATATTAAGATTTTTCTCCTGCATTAATATTAGTTTTAATAAGTTCAATGAACAAAAAAAGTTTAAGAGATTAAAATTTTATATTGTAACATTTATCTCAATAATCTATTAGAAAAAATATAAAATCAGCTTATAAAACTAGGAATAAATCACTTAAAGAACATTTTTTTATTAATAAATAGATATTAACATGTTTAGTAGAATTTTAGATAATTGAAAATTATTACTCCATTACTTTAATTTTTTCTGAATTAAAAATTTTTAATTTATTCAAAATACCATTAAGTTATAGATTATTAGTCTATTAAAAAAATATATTTTTGAGCTATTTTAACTGGAGTTTCATAAGACACTTTCTTTCTTTTTCTTAATAAAAATTTTTAATAAATTAGTCTTCTAATTTCTAAACCTCCATAATTTCCGGGGGGACTGTAAATAACTAATGTGTTATACATTTTCCACATGATTTATATGTTTTACAAGATATAAATTATCCCATTTCATGGATAATGGTACATGTATTTCAAAGATCATGATGCTTATCTGTCTTGTTTTGCTGCTCAAATTTTCATAACCCAGCTGTTTTGCTCTTGATACAAAGGTGCAACTCGTCTATGTCACTTGGTGCAAAGCATTAGAAGGATGCAGTTTTTCTTTAATTTGATGTACTTTTTATAAAATCAATTTATGTAGCGTACGAACTTCGTTAAATCACATGACTAAGAAATATATACAAGCACATATCGATTGGAGTAGTGATTTCGAATAACTATAATGTGCAATATTCAGCCGTAATTTTTGTGAGATAAGTAATATCAGCCTTGGATTTCTGTTTAATCACCATATGCGTTTTGAAATTAATATTAGAGAATTATTCTCAATACAATTTGTAATTTTCTTTCATTTTATACAGCAATATCATAGCTGTATATTTCATCTTTCTGGGAATAAGATATCTCTGTCATCAATCAAACGGTTGTTACTTTTATAATGCATCAATTGATTCCAGATTCGTTTCTTCCAATCAGATGGAGTTTTTTTGTCACGAATTACTGGAAGGTATCATTTAAAACTGCAAAACAAAAAAAGTTTATATGATTTCTATGTGTAATGGAAAAATTCAAAACGAACGTGCATTTTCTTTGCATCTCGAAATTTGCTCGTATCTGGTTATTGTGGATATTTAAGAAATTGAAGGAAAGGTAATGGTGAGTATCGTTAAATAACTTT